CGAACCTCCCCGACCTCTCCCATACTCAATGTCCTGTATGCATTAGGGCCCTGTAATCTCAGTGCAGGAGTGTCCAAGCTATAGGCTCTAGAGACGAGGAAGAATGACACAGCACGTAGATCGGGTGGGGGTCCATTCCTAAAACCTTAGAAAAGGTCTTAAATGTCTGAACCCAGAATGGCAATGACCTCGCCAACCACCTCCACCACCCTACCTCCACTTGCCTATCTCCACCTTCTGCTCTGATGAGTACGCTGTGCCTGGTACCATCGATGGCCCCCACCTGGGGAGCGGTAGTGTTGCAGTTTAGCGTCACGCTGCGCTGACGAGCCTGGCGACCCGAGTTCGATTCCCGCTCACGGCCACCGAGACAACCGAAGTAACGATTATCATGAACCGGTCCTGCTGGGCCTCCTCTATGTCGAGTAGTCCTCAAATTAGTAGCTGGCACGCTGGGTAAAAATCATCGCCACTCAGGGAGACAAAGGCGGCCGGGCGTGGTGCTGGCCAAACACCCCCTCGTGTGCCACCTTCATAGACACCGCCAACTAACACCACTTACCCCAAGAGTCTGTTACAGGCTATAGGGGGATCATTGTCTTTGCCCCCTGAGTAATGCCATTAACATGTCAGCGATGTTGCAATGCAACTTATCGAGGGAGGACGTGGGTGATACCGCAAATGTTGGTTTAAAAAAAAAAGAACCGTGATGCGATGCCGAAGGACCGCCAACTCCAGGGGCACGATGAGGACGATGAGGACGATGAGGACGTCGGCATTGTTAACATCACCAGCATCATCAACGCCATCACCACCGCCACCACCACTATCAGCTTCATTCATTCACCAATAGCCAACATCAACGTCCATCCCCACGTCCATCGCCATCACGAACCGCTACAGTGATGGCAATGACCGCCAAGTGTGGCTTGGAAGTCAGGGCACATAGGGGTTGTTGTTGTTGTTGTTGTTATAGATGGTGGCCCGAAAGTCAGGACACATAGCCACCCTGGTGATGAGAGAGAGGGAGAGAGACGCTGACTCCAAATATACAGCAGCAGCAAGCATCGTCAGGGTAACGGGATCGAACCCACGACCTCCTGCTCACCAGGCGAGGTAGTTAACATCTCTCAGCCACCATGATGATGATGAGAGAGAGATGCAGACTCCAAATAAACAGCAGCAACAGGCATCATCAGGGTCGGGATCGAACCCACGACCTTCTGCGTACCACGCAAGGTAGTTACCAATTGAAATGTTTCCACGATGGGGGCCTGCATGACCAATCAGAGGAGTGCCAAGTTTGGTGCTGCCTCAACTCCAGACTGCCCGAGGTGCCATTCCCGTCACCCCCCTCCGGGTGTCGTCCACGATCACGAACATCCTTTCTGGTCACGTCCGACCATTGGCCGACTTCTACAAACATCAGAAACGACACCCACACGAGTTGCCCTTGGGAGTCGTCTCTGTCGCGTCAGACAGCACCAACTCGTGGCACGGCTTCGTCGTCTTGCCGCTTGAAGCCTCGCAAATCTTCCCTCCGAACGTCGCCGCCACTACCACTACCCACTGTGCTCTCCCCCTGTTACCACCTCTTGAAACCCCTTTCTCTCTCGGACCTTCTCCGTGTGCCACTGACTTCCCTCCAGACAATCCCCGCTATTCTCCCCCCACGGTTCTCCACAGTCGCCTCTGGGTTCTGCTTTCACTTGGCGCCCTTTTCCACCCGTTTGAACCTCTCCTCCAATGCCTTCAAACCGCTACCTCACCCCCAACCAGTCGTTCTGTAGCGCCACTCTACGTCGATAGGAGGTCTCGGCCTGCTGCCTGCAAGTCCCTTTGGCTGCACATTGGCTTCTGGTGTGTGCTTCATTATTTTGGCCATCAACACAATTTTTAGTGTTCTTCACGGAGGCAGACACTTGACTTGGAGGCAACATGTTAATTACACAGCCCCAACAGGGCTAACTACATGAACGTACACACGTTAACTAGACCCCCAACAGGGTAACTACATAACCGGGTCAATCAGTAACATCCTGACTGACCAACGATGCCGAGCAAAGACCGAAGATCGAAGAGAGACTTGGCGCCGAGGGTTGATTCCAGAGAACAGCCCGGATCGGGGCTCAGGACTCGGCCTTCATGGGCTGCTGCATGGCCCGGGCTCTGCTCTTGGCCACGCCTCTTTTCAGATCCTTCCCGAAGACTCTGGCCCCTATATCACGTGTCCCTGTACCCACATTTTGGGCCCCCTCTTGCCACCTCGTCCGGTCCCGCACCCTCTCGTGGTCACCCAGAATGCTACGTCCTCACTCGACCTCTCTCTCACTGTCACCAGGACTATGCCCCCTAGGGCCCGCTTCCATGGCATTCCCACTCTGGTGTCAGAGAGATGCCCAAGACACACAGCTCCACTCTTGTGATGGGAGCTGGCGCTAAATGCCATAGTGACTCCATTCATGTCACTACACATATAATGGGGGAGGGGGGGGGGGTATTCAATAAGATTAACGATACATCTGGAAAAAAACATAAGGGTGAGAAAAACTATCCCCGTGGGGGCCTAAGTAGAAGTGGGACTGACTCGAGAACAGAACGAATCTAGGTTAAGAGGAGACGTCAACGCAGCAGCCAGGTGAAGCATAGCGAGCACATGGAAGATTCGCGAACCTCCCCGACCTCTCCCATACTCAATGTCCTGTATGCATTTGGGCCCTGTAATCTCAGTGCAGGAGTGTCCGAGCTATAGGCTCTAGAGACGAGGAAGAATGACACAGCACGTAGATCGGGTGGGGGTCCATTCCTAAAACCTTAGAAAAGATCTTAAATACCTGAACCCAGAATGGTAATGACCTCGCCAACCACCACCACCACCCTACCTCTACTTGCCTATCTCCACCTTCTGCTCTGATGAGTACGCTGTGCATGGTACCATCGATGGCCCCCACCTGGGGAGCGGTAGTGTTGCAGTTTAGCGCCACGCTGTGCTGACGAGCCTGGCGACCCGAGTTCGATTCCCGCTCACGGCCACCGAGACAACCGAAGTAACGATTATCATGAACCGATCCTGCTGGGCCTCCCCTATGTCGACTAGTCCTCAAATGAGTAGCTGGCACGGTGGGTAAAAATCATCACCACTCAGGGAGACAAAGGCGGCCGGGCGTGGTGCTGGCCAAACACCCCCTCGTGTGCCACCTTCATAGACACCGCCAACTAACACCACTTACCCCAAGAGTCTGTTACAGGCTATAGGGGGATCATTGTCTTTGCCCCCTGAGTAATGCCATTAACATGTCAGCGATGTTGCAATGCAACTTATCGAGGGAGGACGTGGGTGATACCGCAAATGTTGGTTTTAAAAAAAAGAACCGTGATGCGATGCCAAAGGACCGCCAACTCCAGAGGCGCGATGAGGACGATGAGGACGATGAGGACGTCGGCATTGTTAACATCACCAGCATCATCAACGCCATCACCACCGCCACCACCACTATCAGCTTCATTCATTCACCAATAGCCAACATCACCGTCCATCCCCACGTCCATCGCCATCACGAACCGCTACAGTGATCGCAATGACCGCCAAGTGTGGCTCGAAAATCAGGACACATAGGGGTTGCTGTTGTTGTTGTTATAGATGGTGGCCCAAAATTCAGGACACATAGCCACCCTCGTGATGATGAGAAAGAGGGAGAGAGACGCTGACTCTAAATATAAAGCAGCAGCAAGCATCGTCAGGGTCCGGGATCGAACCCACGTCCTCCTGAGTACCAGGCGCCTGACTCTTTAACTGCACCGGTGGGCATCTGACGTTTGTTATTGCGAACTGCGCTTTATCCACAACACCCAATATTATACTTAATTTCTTCATCATAACGCAATTTTAGTTTCCTGTAAAGCGGTGTTCTTGAGCAATGCAACAACAACCACTTCCGCACAAAATGTGGTGCCAATTCGTTACGAAATCAGCACTCACTGGTTTTTGTGTAGGAGAGTGAACCCACTGCAACATTGACAATTCGAGTGCCGTGACGTTTCGCCAGTAATTGCGACTAGCGTCATACAAGTTACGAATTGGCACGTTTTGTTCACGTGACAAACCCCTTATTGATTAGCCGTGTCTTCAGTTTTTTAGTTTCAGTTTCATTTATTTGGTATAGCCCTGTGAGCCATTCGGCTCTTGAATCGGGTGCAACCGCAACAAACAAAAAACAAAAACATGAACAAGACAACATCTTAAAGTGACTACTACACGCAAACAGAAAAATCCAGGAAAAAACTGCAAAGTCTTCCAGAAAAAGCACCGTACACCAACGCTGTGTGCAAAAATCCCAGTGGGATGCAACAACAACAACAACAACCACAAGACAACTTAGATTAAAGCAATCAGTCGAACTCCGTACTATAACAAACAAACATGGCCAAACCAAAAACTTTTCGAAAAATAAAGCCATAAGTCATTCATCAGTGATCGCCTGGTGGTGGCGGGTTTAATGGCACCACATTCATATTTATGCGATCTATGTGCATAAAAACCTCCACAATGGATAACAGCAAACAGCTTCTTCGGGCAACTTTGCCGGGAATTTTTGTTTTATTTTACTCTGCTGCACGGCAAATAAACAGGTTGAGCTGGCTGAAGTAGTCACTAATTGTACGCATTTTGTGTTAAGTGACAACCCATTTACTAATTGACTGCGTCAGGTGGTTAGCAGTAGTGGCGCACATTCGTATTCACGCAATCAAACCCATAAAGCAAAAAAAAACCCGCCGTGATAGAAAATTTTGGTTGCGAAAGTCCGTGAATTTTTTTTCTTTTTTCGTTAAGCGGCCGCTCAGGATTGAGCAACAAAACGTAGCCAGGACACTTTTTTTTTCTTCTTCCATTTGCGTCGGCAAAACCCCAGTGAACTCTCACGGACCACCTCCCACTAATCACCCACCCCACGTACCAACAGCGCGATTGCATTCACGAGGGGGGGAGGGGGGGCGTTCTCATTCGCCCCACAGCAGCGAAGCGAACCTCTGGCAGCGTCTTGCGGTGGCTCATGACGATTGGCCACCCGGGTGAGGCGCAGTTGGCAGGATGAGGAGTGGGCGCGCAACGCCCACAAAGCGGCTCTCATTGTTACGTCACGCGGTGCTCGTTCATTGTTACGCTACGCGGCGCGCAGGTGCTCACTCTGCCATATAAAAGGAGGGAGCGTCTGGCACAGGGACCATTCGGCTCTTCGCGGAATCGACTGCTTTCACGTGAGCGGTGAGTTGGGCGGGGGTGGGATGGCGGGTGGGATCCTTACGCTGGAAGGGGATTTCTGTAGGAGTTCAGATTTTTGCCCTCCCCCCCACCCCCAATTGAGACCAAGCCCTACGCATTCGCGAATATTTTTTGCTACATTAATTGGGGGGGGGGGGGGGGTTGGATGCGGGGGGGGGGGGGGTGAGTTTCTTTAGCCCACGATAGATTTTGTCCCAGAGCTCGCCGCTCCGATCAATCCTCGCGATTTATCCCCAGCCGTCGCCTCTGGCTCGGCGACCGGGTTCCAGTGATAATTTGTTACCGTGGTCGTCGAGAATACAACTTGTTTTGTGATTGCGTTCACGATGCAGTCGGTTGTTATGCAACGCGAGATCGTGCAGCAGCTCTCCTTGTATTGCCACTGCTGGATGATGGCCTCCTGTAGCCGTGTGGGTCGTTGGGGGTGGGTGGCAGGGACTGGGTCAGTGGTTCGTCTTCTTAACCTGGGGTGCTGGAGGTGCCCTTTCTTGGGGGGGGGGGAGGGGGTGAGGAGACATGGCCAGGTAAGTAATCGAAAATGAAAATTAGGCACGGGCGCGTAAGTACAACTACTTAATCAAACCCGATGGGTTTATTAACATTATAAAACATTTTCTTGGTTCTTTCAGTAAAGTCACGTAGAAAGGGAAATAATAAAATTATTTAAAAATACCATTATTATTTAATTTGTCTTATTTTATTATTTCCTTTCTACGTCACTTTACCGAAAGAACCAAGAATATGAATCCCTGCAGACACGAAAGCTTTAAATCGAAATTATAAAAAAAAAAATGTTTAAGCGATTAAGAACCAATGGGGCGGTGAAGGTTAGGACCCACTGGACTGGACCGCGCTTTACACGGCCGGTTCACGAGGCCTCTTTTTTTTCCCCAGGCGTGGGCAGCAAGGAAGCAAAAATTGTAAAACTTCTCTTCTGCTACTCCACCGCCACCACCTCGGACGCCTGCAGTCCCCACGACCGCGACCGTGAATTGTTGAGCGGTGGCTACACTCGGTGCATGTGTAGACGAGTGCGTGCGCGTTGTGCCGTAATTATTTTTCTCCGCTAACAAAAAATTGGCGCAATCTCAAGGTGGCTTACGCCTTTTGTAAGAATGTTGGCACGAGGTTTGGCTACTTGTCCATGCTTGGCAATAAAGATGTGAAAACCGCCGCTGTCAACGATGAGCGAGGCATTTGGCAATAGACGTCTGTCGCATTCAATTTGGCGTCTCTCGAATGGTGCCTGGATGAATTGACATCACGTTTGGCTGGACCTTCAGATAAACACAAACTCTGGGCACTTTTGAACTACTTCGAGGTACCAAAATAAAGACAAGAGAATGTTCCACTTCAGTTAAAACATTTTTTTCCTGCTGCGGTTTTCACAGCCGATGATGATGATGATTGCTTGTGTTGCAATCGAAACGTCGTGATTTAAATTTAGTTTTTTAATTCACCCACGTGACTTTACCGAAAGAACCAAAGAGTTATAATGTCACGCTACAACTACAGTCGACGTTGAACGGCGGCGATGCGTTCAAATGATAAGATGGCAGCCGCAAGAGACGAAGCTTTAAAACGCGCGTGGCACGCTCTCCCCACTGCTTCTGTCTCGCTCTCAGCTCGACATCATGGCGTTCCCGACCACGCTGCACATCATTGGCGGCCAAGGTGGAAACAAGTTCTCGTTCGACGGGCTGACGAATGCGGCGACGCTGCAGAAGCTCTCCGTGAGCGTTGGGGGCTGGCAGGTGAGGGGCGTGGAGGTGTGGCTGACGGACGGGCGCAGGGAGACATTCGGCGCCATGGACTCCTCCGCTCAGGAGTTCGAATTCGAGTCGGGCGAGTTCATCAAGAGCCTCTCGCTGTGGGGCAACGGGGCCGGCACTCGCCTGGGCGCCATCAAGTTCAGAACGAGCCGCAGTCGCGAGTTCTTTGCCAAGATGACGGACTGGGGGCTCAAGACCGAGTACAAGATCGACGTGGGCTCTGGCATCTGCTTGGGCGTTCAGGGCCGAGCGGGGTCCGACATTGACTCCATGGGCTTCCTCTTCATCAATGCCATAAAGTCGTCGGTGATCCAGGACATGAAGTACCCGACCATGCACCAGGTCCTGCCCAACGTGCAGATGGAGGAGATTAAAGAAATGGAGTACAAGAACGACACCAGCGTCGTGCAGTCGTACACCTTCGAGAGCTCCAAGAAGATCACCAAAACGTCATCGTGGTCCACCACCAACAAGATCGAGTCCACCTTCAGCCTGTCGGTGAAGGCCGGCATCCCCGAGGTCATGGAGGTGGAGACCGGATTCAGCTTCACCGTGGGCAGTGAGAGCACACACGCGGTGGAGGAGTCCGAGGAGAAGACGGAAACGCTCACGTTCCCCGTCGCTGTTCCGCCCCACAAGACCGTCACCGTGGTCGCCAACATCGGTCGCGCCGACATCGACCTTCCGTACACGGCCATGCTGCGCATCAGCTGCGTGAACGGCGCATCCCTTGACGCTCCCCTGAGCGGCGTCTACAAGGGGCTCGCCTACACCAAGATGACCGCCGTTGCTACCGAGAGCTAGAGCGGCGTTTCGCAGCGCCCTTTTTATTTGTTTTGGTGACGTTGATGAAGTGTTCTAAAGGAACGTTTTTTTTTGGCTGTGTAAAATTCACCAATAAAAAAAGAGGCCTACATTGAAACGTTTGCTTTTCCGAGTCCCTCAGTTATTTCCCGGTCGATGCGTGTGGTGCAGGAAGACATTTCCCCATTGAGGCACTGAAAGTTACGAAAGCACCAAGTGTTTGCGCATACAGGTGTCAAGGCAAACTTGGCACTTTCAGAATCGATTTTCCACTTGTGGAAAGTCTGATCAAAGCGTCTTGTTGAACCCTGGCTAATGAAATGCATTCATTCATCATCCATTTGGGTTGATGTTGGATTTCTCCAGCGAAATAATAGCTTACACCACCACAACCACCACTAACACCACCAACAACACCACCACCAACACCACTACCACCACCAACACCACTACCAACACCACCACCACCCCGCTCCATGCCCATCAATGGAGTCGAGCTGACGAGTGCTCTGCTCCACTCAGCCCCCTGCCCCAAACCACCACAGGGTAGTGGGAGGGGGTGCGGGGTGCTAGGGAAGGGTGCGTGAGGTGGGGGGGTTGTCTGGGGGAGGGGGCTTGGGGGTTATCACGCGAGAGGAGGGACCCCTAGGGAGTGGGGAAGATGGGGATGTTGGGGGTCACGTGGGGTTCATTGTTTTACTGCCGGCACTGCTCCAGAGTTGCGGACCGAGTCACGAATCGCGACCGATTCCCAGACGCCGTTTGGGTACTGGCCGGGCCTGGAGCGGTGTTGGTGCGCGCCACGCGAGGGCGCTGCCGCTCCACCGCAGGGACTCGCGGGGCGCGCTGACTAAGGGGCCACCCATTCAATACGTACACAAAAATCGTCCCCCGAGCGTCGGGTGGACAATCCTGGTGCAGTTTGGATAATTAATGAGCTTCAAGATACTCTTCGAGCCATGGGTAATGTTTTACATTTTTGTTCAAGTAACGAGACATGACTGGACACGAAGGGACTTTTATTCGTCTGCGTGCCAACATCGCCCTCACTGAAGTGGGCGTCGGTGCACATCGCAGCCGCACGGGAACGGTGCCGGGGCCACAGAGCAACAGGAAAGGAACAAAAGAATCCCGTCACGACCTCAGCGAAGATTTGCAACTGCGCACAATGAATAGCATAAGAACATTAAGTAGCAAATAAAGTGAATAATAGGTAGGAAAATTTATTAATAAAATTTATTATAAAATTTATTAGTAATGACATTTATAAAAATACACGTCAATAAAATTAATAAGTTACATAAATTTACTAATTTAAATAACATAATGAAAAACATTTGATTTAATAACTTAAATAAAGTTAATTATATAAGAATATTTCGATTTAAGCTTTCGTGATTGCAAGGATTCATCTTCTTGGTTCTTTCGGTAAAGTCACGTAGAATGAGAATAAAATAATAAATTGATAAAATAAAATAACACAATAAAATTCTCACGACGTTTCGGCCACAACACAAGTAGCCTTCTTCAGGTGAAGGAACAGAACTGTCGGGACGCTGTCGAAAATATTTATAACATATTTAATATTTTAAATAAAATGAATCGTGTATGAATAATATATTAATAATAAAACAAACAAACAGCTAATAAAATTAATAATAAATGCGCCGGTTCCTCCCCTTGTTAAATGGTGGATGTTAGGGGCAGGCGAGTGTGAGTAGCTGCGTCTTGTACAGAGCACGGATGAACTTATTCACTCGCACGAACGCCACCCACCCATTGTACATCACGTTAAGCACGGGGGAAATCACTGCTGTTGAGAATATATTTTATTTTTAAACCAAACAAACCACGCGTGACAGAACCCTCCGCGTGTAGGCACACGAGCTGCAACATCAAAGTGAAGGAGTGTGCGCACGTCAATGAGAATGGACGTGAAGGGTCGTGAGTGGCAACGCTGCCGAGCTGCTCACAGCCCAGCTGCTCGCGTGGAGGAGGAGGAGGCGAGGCGAGATTCGGGGCGAAGCTTTCGCTTGGGAGCGAGAGGCCGCTTGGAAGACGAAACAAAAACATCTCCTGACTGCCGTGGGTGCCCATGGGGGGCGAGTGGGGCGCTGATCACGCGGCGGGGATTCCCCCTCGGCGTGTCCCTGGCGCCTGTGGACGACTCCGTGTGGGTGGAGCGGTGGCCACAGCCGTGAGCGCTGCGCTGGGCTACGAACCCAGCGACCCGAGTTCGATTCCCGCTCGCGGCCAAACACCGGCGACGATCATCTGAACCGGTCCTGGGCCTTCCCTGGGTCGACTCAACCTCAAATGAGTATCTGGTGCGTTGAGTAAACACAACCACTGGGGAGACAAAGGCGGTCGGGCTTGGAGCTATCGTCACCACCACCATCTCGTACAACTCCCTGCGTTAATAGTTGCACGCTAACAGTGCTGGTCACACAAGTCTATGCAGGCTCTTCGTCGATCTCTGTGCGTGTATTTCATTTTTTTAGATGCCTTTGAATTGTTAAATTACTTTATTTGGTGCACTGAATTGTGCTCATTGCTGTGTTTTTACTTTCTGCGCTGTCTAATTGCGTTCGAGATATATATAATTATATAATTACTAGCCTATAGCCTGTTCAAGGACGGGTGTTTTGCAGTTTATCTGAAATATTCTATCGAAAATAATGACCCGCTCATGATTATTAATGATGGGGTGGGGTCCACATGAGTTACGTCATCAGCTCATAATTATTGATGAGGGGGGGCTCCATGTGCAGTGACGTCATCAGCTCATGATTTTTAATGAGGGGGGTGGGGGGGTGGCCCATGTGGAGTGACGTCACCCGCTCATGATTATTAATGAGGGGGGCCTCATGTGGAGTGACGTCACGCGCGGGACGCACACACATTCTTGGCTTATGATATCAGTAAATATTTATAGCCCCATCACCTGTCAATACTTCAGGTGCGGCTTCCTGTGTCGGGCTGCGCGCTGAGCGATGTTCCCCTCTCGAGCGTCCGCAAGGCGCTGCCGCAGGCATCTTTAGGGGCGCGCCACTCGCAGCTCGAGCGGTGAAGCCGCCCTCGGACGACACGCGGCTGAGAGGAGACGGACAATGGACGCGTTAACACGCACACAGATTCGTCCGTGATGAGTCTGTGAAACAACAAAACAATTAACAAGAAGCACGAATGAACAACGCGGGCGGTGGAGTTGTGCGAGCGATGGACGATGTCAGACCTGGCCAGGCGTTGATCTCAGCTGGGGCGATTGGCAGTGCAATGCGCGAACCGCTGCACCACCGCTCCACCCCGCAGGTTGCAAATTTACATCCAGTAAACGGGATTAGGAAGAGTGTCTAACGTTACGTTTGTAAATACGTCGACACGAAGGTGTTCAACTAATGCTACAATGCCGTTTAAGTTTTGCATAATACAACATCGTGTTGTTCCTTTTGCAAGAGATATTTGCACTCGATCATAGTGAATAATGCTGTTGTGTTCAACTGAAGGTGTTGAACGTGTACACGTGCCTAAGCTGGTTAACACACAACGTCTAATAATTCGTGCCGTAATCAAAAGCAACACGCATTTTGAGTATCACACCACAGCCCTTTAACTTCAAAATGTGAAGGTTTTTCACTCAAAGTTGTGTCACGCACCGCCAAATGAGAACCCCTCCGACCGGTTCGGCTTCACGTTCCTACGCTCAGCGTGGAAACAAATCTCAGCCGTGAGCAGTCACTGCAGCCTGCAACCCTTTGGTTGTCAGTCGTTAACAATGTGATAATGTTAATACACACAAAGTGTTTGGTGAAACAACGACGTTGTACTTACTTGACGGTCACTTAATTTGTGAACCGCTGGTGTAGTGTATAGTGGAGTGTATAGTGCACTGTATAGTGTGGTGTATAGTGTACTGTATAGCAGGGAAGCGTATAATGGAGTTTATAGTGGAGTGTATAGTGTAGTGCATAGTGGAGTGTATAGTGGATTGTATAGTGTAGTGTATAGTGGAGTGTATAGTGGATTGTATAGTGAAGTGTATAGTGGAGTTACAATGGATGTGTAGTGTAGTGTATAGTGGAATGCATATTGTACTGTATAGTAGTGTATACTGTAGTGTATAGTGTGTGGTATACAGTGTTAATAAATACATTGGTTTGCTGAAACAAAGTAGTTGTATTAACGTGCCCGTGCTTAATTTGTCTTTTAAAATATTTATTTTCTAAATAAATCTGCCCATGTCTCGCACCCCCCGAATGTGCATCTTGTACCCACAGGGGGTGCGTGATGCACCCACAGGGGGTGAGTGATGTACCCCAGGAGGTTCGTGATGCACCCACAGGTTAAGAACCAATGACCTATGTCCTCGATAACGGTCACTCTGGGTCTAATATCTCTATGTTTCACTCTCGGTCTAATATCTCTATGGGTCTCTATGTGTCACTCTGGGTCTAATATCTCTATGGGTCTCTATGTGTCACTCTGGGTCTAATATCTCTGGGTCTCTATCTGTCACTCTGGGTCTAATATCTCTATGGGTCTCTATGTGTCACTCTGGGTCTAATATCTCTGGGTCTCTATCTGTCACTCTGGGTCTAATATCTCTATGGGTCTATATGTGTCACTCTGGGTCTAATATCTCTATGGGTCTCTATGTGTCACTCTGGGTCTAATGTCTCTATGGGTTTCTATGTGTCACTCTGGGTCTAATATCTATATGTGTCTCTATGTATCACTGGGTCTAATATCTCTATGGGTCTCTATGTGTCACTCTGGGTCTAATATCTCTATGGGTCTCTATGTGTCACTCTGGGTCTAATATCTCTATGTGTCTCTATGTGTCACTCTGGGTCTAATATCTCTATGTGTCTCTGTGTCACTCTGGGTCTACTATCTCTATGTGTCTCTATGTGTCACACTGGGTCTACTATCTCTATGTGTCTCTATGTGTCACTCTTGGTCTATTATCTCTATGTGTCTCAATGTGTCACTTTTGGTCTAATATCTCTATGGGTCTCTATGTGTCACTCTGGGTCTAATATCTCTATGTGTATCTATGTGTCACTCTGGGTCTGCTATCTCTATGTGTCTCTATGTGTCACTCTGGGTCTATTATCT